GCGCTCGCTGCGGCTCCAGCGGGAGCTGCTGGAGCGGGAGGAGCGGCGGAGAGCCTTGGCCCGGGAATGGGCCACGCGCCGGTTCCTGCCGGAGCCCCCCCGGGCCCCCCCGAGCCCCCCCCGGCGGCGCCGGTACTGCCGGGACCCCGCCGTGCACAACGCCCTGTACGCCGGGGACCTCCCGCGGGTCCAGAGCATCTTCAAGGACGAGGCCACGGCCAATTTGGTCCTGGAGATGGTCAGCGAGGAGCTGGTGTGGTCACCGGAGCAGGGTATGGGGCTGGGGGGTCCTGCCCTTCTCCCTCCCTCCCTCCTTCTCCCTCCCTCCTTCTCCCCTCCTCCTTCTCCCTCCCTTTCTCCTTCTCCCCTCCTCCTTCTCCCTCCTTCCTTCCCCCTCTTTCTCCTCTTTTTCCCCCTCTTTTTCCGTCTTTTTTCCCTCTCTCTCCCTCCTTCTCCCTTTTCTCCCTTCCCTTCTCCTTTCTTCTTCCCTTCCCTTTCCCCTTCCCTTTTCCCTTCCCTTTCCCCTTCCCTTTCCCCTTCCCTTTCCCCTTCCCTTTCCCCTTCCCTTTTCCCTTCCCTTTTCCCTTCCCTTCCCTTCTCTTCCCTTCCCTTTCCCCTTCAAATTAACAGGGGGAGCCAGGGCAAGGGGTGATGGATGGGGCTGCAGTTCCAGGTGGGCTGAGGGGAGCAGGGCTGGAGGATCCAGTTTGGAAGGGGTGGGCTGTGGAGAACGCTCTGGGAAAGGGGGTACAATCCCAGGTTTACTCCACACAGGGTTTCCTCTGGCTGTAGGTGGAGGTGGGGGGATACTGGGGTTCACAACCGACCCCCTGAGCTATGGGTGGGTGACAGGTCCGGTGCAGGGTGTGTGGGGGGGATCAGGTCTGGGGCAGCACCTGTGGGTGCCCTGCTGATCCCCCTGCTCTGGCAGGGCTGTGGGTGTGGGGTCTGGGGTGGGTGGTCAGGGCAGCCCCCATGGGTGCCTCGCAGGGCTGTGGTGTGTGGGGGGGTCCACTGGGGGGTGGGTTTTCAGGGCAGACCCGTGGGTGCCCCACTGCCCTTCCTGCAGGGCTCTGGGTGGGTTGGGGGGACCCAAGGAGTTGGGCCCCCCAGCAGGGAGGTGGGGGGTTGAGTGAGGGTTCCAGTGGAGGGTAGGTTTTCAAGGCAGGCCCCTGGTGCCCCACTGACCCCCTTTAGTGGGGATCTGAGTAGGTTGGACCCCCCAGGAGGTTGGACCCCCCCCGGCAAGGCTGTAGGTGGGTGGGGTGCCCAGTGGAGGGTGGGTTTTCAAGGCAGGCCCCCGGGCACCTTGCTGACGCCCCATCTCCTGCAGGGTTGTGGGTGGGGAGAGGGGGAGGTCCAGTGGGGGGTGGGCGGGCACTGCAGCCCCCACGGGTGGTGCAGATCCCCCTCACCCCCAGCAGGGCTCCGGGTGGGGAGTCCGGGGTGGGTTTTCAGGGCCCCACTGACCCCTCCCCACAGGGCTGTGGGTGGGTGAGGTGTCCAGTGGAGGGTGGGTTTTCAGGGCAGCCCCCTGGTTGCCCCACTCACCCCCCCAACAGGGCTGTGGGTGCTGAGCCCCCGCCGGCAGCAGACCTCGGCTCTGCGCATCGTCACCGCCCGGGGCTACGAGGACTGTGCCCGGCACTTGCTGCTGCGGGGGGCGGCGGTGGACGCCGTGGTGGGGGGCCGGGCCCCCCTGCACGACAGCGCTGCCGCCCCCCACCCCAACTGCGCCCGCCTGCTCCTGGCCTTCGGCGCCGACCCCAACGTGCTGAGCGCCGAGGGCTCGGCCCCCCTGCACCTCTGCACTGCCCCCCAAAGCCTGCGGTACGGGGAGGGGGCTGGGAATGGGGGGGCACCTGCGTGCCAGGCTCCACCTCCTGCCCAAATCGTGACCACCGCCTCTAAACCCCCCAGAGCTCAGCCAAGACCCCTTATGCTGGTGGGGACCCCTGTTTGCAGCCCCCCAATGCAGCACCTGTGTCCCGGAAGTGTCCCATGGGAGCCAGGGCTCTCTGAGGTGTCCCTGGGGGTGTCCCATAGGTGCCAGGTCTCTCCAGGGTATCCTAGGGGTGTCCTGGGGGTGTCCCATGGGAGCCAGGGCTCTCTGAGGTGTCCC